TGTAACCTTTACAAAGAAATAAACTTATTATTATTATTTTTATTTTATTATTATTATCACACTGCCCGATTCCCACCAAGGCAGGGTGGCCCGAAAAAGAAAAACTTTCACCATCATTCACTCCATCACTGTCTTGCCAGAAGGGTGCTTTACACTACAGTTTTTAAACTGCAACATTAACACCCCTCCTTCAGAGTTCAGGCACTGTTCTTCCCATCTCCAGGACTCATCTCCGGCCTGCCGGTTTCCCTGAACCCCTTCATAAATGTTACTTTGCTCACACTCCAACAGCACGTCAAGTATTAAAAACCATTTGTCTCCATTCACTCCTATCAAACACGCTCACGCATGCCTGCTGGAAGTCCAAGCCCCTCGCACACAAAACCTCCTTTACCCCCTCCCTCCAACCTTTCCTAGGCCGACCCCTACCCCGCCTTCCTTCCACTACAGACTGATACACTCTTGAAGTCACTCTTTCGCTCCATTCTCTCTACATGTCCGAACCACCTCAACAACCCTTCCTCAGCCCTCTGGACAACAGTTTTGGTAATCCCGCACCTCCTCCTAACTTCCAAACTACAAATTCTCTGCATTATATTCACACCACACATTGCCCTCAGACATGACATCTCCACTGCCTCCAGCCTTCTCCTCGCTGCAACATTCATCACCCATGCTTCACACCCATATAAGAGCGCTGGTAAAACTATACTCTCATACATTTCCCTCTTTGCCTCCAAGGACAAAGTTCTTTGTCTCCACAGACTCCTAAGTGCACCACTCACCCTTTTCCCCTCATCAATTCTATGATTCACCTCATATTTCATAGACCCATCCACTGGCACGTCCACTCCCAAATATCTGAATACATTCACCTCCTCCATACTCTCTCCCTCCAATCTGATATCCAATCTTTCATCACCTAATCTTTTTGTTATCCTCATAACCTTACTCTTTCCTGTATTCTCTTTTAATTTTCTTCTTTTGCACACCCTACGAAATTCATCCACCAATCTCTGCAACTTCTCTTCAGAATCTCCCAAGAGCACAGTGTCATCAGCAAAGAGCAGCTGTGACAACTCCCACTTTGTGTGTGATTCTTTATCTTTTAACTCCACGCCTCTTGCCAAGACCCTCGCATTTACTTCTCTTACAACCCCATCTATAAATATATTAAACAACCACGGTGACATCACACATCCTTGTCTAAGGCCTACTTTTACTGGGAAATAATTTCCCTCTTTCCTACATACCCTAACTTGAGCCTCACTATCCTCGTAAAAACTCTTCACTGCTTTCAGTAACCTACCTCCTACACCATACACCTGCAACATCTGCCACATTGCCCCCCTATCCACCCTGTCATACGCCTTTTCCAAATCCATAAATGCCACAAAAACCTCTTTAGCCTTATCTAAATACTGTTCACTTATATGTTTCACTGTAAACAAATCCTGTGAGAATAAAAATTCAAAGTGGAGAGCAAAAGAAATGTAAGAGGCCTTGGGATGTGACTAATGAATAGATAAAATGTTATTTTAGTGCCGGGAATGTCTGTCTTGTTTATTCTGGACCCTATTTGGAAATTGGCATCTTTTGAAATTTGTGTGAATTTGGCAAAATTGCCAGTTTCTGACCACTTATTGGATAGTTGAAATCGGTAAATGGGTGGTTTCTTGTACTCATTCAATATAAAAAGTGGAGTTCTAACGAAATAGTTATGATTTTTGTCGACTGGTACATTGGAATTTGCCGAAAGTAGGGCTCAAAGTGGGCAAAATCGCCGATGCGTAAACATCGTCAAGACCGCTAACTTTGCGAGAGCATAATTCCGTAAGTTTTCCATCAAATTTCATACTTTTGGTGTCATTATGATCGGAAAAGGGTTCTCTATCATTCCATAAGATAAAATAATTTTTTTTTTGTGTTTCAAAAAAAATTCGACCCTGAGAACAAGTTTAGGAGAGGGCCTCTTGACCCTGAAAGGGTTAAATTTGAGTTTGATGTCAGAGTGAATATCCAAGGATTTTCCCTCATATTGTCTTTCAAGGTGTGTATTAACAGTCTTTGTTTAGTTGTATATTTTTAGCTTTATTCTCAAATATTATCTCAGGATTTATCAATATTGCATGCTATTTTATTTGTTGCTAACCAAGCTGATACAAATATAAAGCATGATGTTAGATAAGTCTTGGTAGAAACACTGAGAGCAATACAGGCTGTGTTAAAATATTACTGTACCACAGTATACAGTAGGGCCCCACTTTTATGGGAGGTTAGGTTCCAGGCTACCTCCGTAAAGCAGAAATCTCCGTAAAGCAGAACACCCTTTTTTTCCACTTATAAATGCATATAAATACCAGATAACAAGTTTACACTAACATATATTAAGTTACCAATAGAACTAGGCATTAAAAAACAATAAATAAGTAAAATACACATATAGTACACTCATTACGTACTTACCTTAAAATGTGTGTAGTCTTAATCTAGGGTGAGATGAGTAGCATTTATTGTAAGAAATCAAGTGTGGTATCTGTGGTAGCCAGCCAGGCTACCATACCAGGCCAACCCACCCACACATAATATTCTATGACATTTAAGCGTCCCAGAGCGATAAAATGCATATACAGTTCACTCGTTACTTGCCTTCAAATATTTGTAGTCTTAATGTAGGGTCAAAGATGAGTCAATGAGATGAAATAAATGAGAGAGAAAGAGAATGAGTACATGAGAGAGGACAGGCGTGGAGTTATGTAAACAAACCAGGTGTATGCGAATTTTGTGAACAAACCAGGCGTACACGTCGTCTGGTTTGTGTACAAGTTACATTGTGTACAAGTTGTCTCTGCGTTGATACAGTAGAATAATTAAGGAACACTCCCATTCTCATGTAACACCATTTTTAGAAGAAATGACGCTCTGAGTGAAGGCATACAAAAGGAATAATTTTCTATAGTTACTCCCAGTAACACATTTTCTCTTGTTGGACTAGAGAAAACGTTATTTTTGCCATCACTTGTACAAGTTGCCTGGCTACCACATCTCATATTTATGTTTATTTATTCTACTCTGGGGTGTATTTATCATCATTATATAACGAGCTTGTTTGGTAGCTGTAGAGCGGGTGTGAATGATATACTTCTTCGGAGGCTTCTTTGTTTATTGAAAACTAGTGTTGGGTTACACAGGCTTGTGTGTTTGTGCCCATGGCCCGGGCAGGGCCATGCCCACGAGAGTGAGCTGGGAGGCCTTGTGTCTTGATGCCAGGCCGCTGTGTGAGTGAGGGTGAGGCAAGTCTGGGCATACTGAAGTGGCAAGGCCTATAGATGGCAGCACCTGAGTGGCGTGAAATATGATCTAAGCTGGCAGACAGCATGGGCTGTCTGTGCAGACAGTACAGGCTGTCTACAATTATATGTTATTGTGTTTATTATATAATTTTGAAAAATCATAGATTGATTAATGAAAATGTGTATATTAATGTAATATACAACATTTAATGAGACTCAGTGATTATTATTGAGTCACAGACCGGGCCATGGGGGTGTTGACCTCCAGAACTCTCTCCAGGTAAACTCCAGGTAATTACTATTATTACTAATATGGCATCTCGAGACATAAAAGACACTTTTTGATTTTAATGTGTACCTGCACGCTAGCACAGTGTGTAAGTTTATTTAGGTGTAGGTATCCATAATTATAATTATCAGAATACACCTACTATCCGACTTACGACCGAGCTTGGCTCTGACTAACCAGTCGTAAGTCAAAATGGATATAAGTTGAACCTTACTACTGAATATAAGCATCACATTAAGTAATGATTTTATTTTGTTGTTTTATTTTGGTATTTAATTTTTTACTTTTTATGCTGTTAGTACAGTACAGTGGACCCCCGCTTAACGATCACCTCCCAATGCGACCAATGTAAGTGTATTTATGTAAGTGCGTTTGTACATGTGTGTTTGGGGGTCTGAAATGGACTAATCTACTTCACAATATTCCTTATGGGAACAAATTCGGTCAGTACTGGCACCTGAACATACTTCTGGAATGAAAAAATATTGTTAACCGGGGGTCCACTGTATTTTATATTGTAAGGTTTAGGAGAAGCACTGTGTACAACACAAACAGTTGTTTATTTCCCAGAACATTTGCATACAAAACATGGTCGTAAGTTGAGTGGTCGTATTTCGAGCAGGTCGTAAGTCGGATGGTAGGTGTATACAGTGGACCCCCCGGTTAACGATATTTTTTCACTCCATAAGTATGTTCAGGTGCCAGTACTGACCGAATTTATTCCCATAAGGAATATTGTGAAGTAGATTAGTCCATTTCAGACCCCCAAACATACATGTACAAATGCACTTACATAAATACACTTACATAATTGGTCACATTCGGAGGTAATCGTTATGCGGGGGTCCACTGTATATGAAATATGTAATAACTTTTAAAAACACTTGAAATTTTGGAGTTTCCAGATGTAATGGAGAGATGTGGTGCTTACAGAGCTCATGGAGAATGTAAACAAACTGGGTGGAGCATGGTGACCATATTAGAAAGTCAGGTGGGGGGAGCCATATAGCAAGTTTTGGTCATAATTTGAAATGTCCGTATTGGCAGAATGCCTTAAAGCGGAGCCCTACTGTATTTATATATGTGTGTAATTAGATATATCATTAAATATCTACCTGCATTTGATTCTGATTTTAAATTTTTTCCTTGTGAGTTTGTCTATGCTCTTATTGCTTATGCGTGTTTTATTATGATTTTGTAGTGCTATATAAGTACAATACTGTACATATTTTATAACAGTGTAGTTCTGAACAGTATTGCATATATTAGGAAGAATCTGGTTTGTTTACACAGTATTTTATTGAAGTTGGAGGAAAAATGCTTCTGAATTATTTTTTTGTAAACAAATACAGTGTTTGATGGTGAATTAATATTTATTGATGACAATGAGATAATTTTAAGTGATGTTGACATTTCAGTTGCCGTGTCGGACAGGCCCACAAACACAACACTCAAGATTCAACGTGGAGCAGAACAAGGAGTACCTCATCCAGATTAGCAGATACAAATTTTCATTAGTTATCTCGGGCCTTTATAAGATTCTACAGAAAGTCAACGAAATGGTATGTAGTTGGAAGGGGTGGATGAAAGGAGGAGATGGTGAAGGATTTGGGGTAAAAAAGAGTGACACTCTCAGGGTCGCCTTCAGGCTAACTGATCTATTTTATTATATAGTGTATTAAGATTAATGTTTTATAATAACTTCTTATTGATTTTTAAAACATGTAACAAAGAACATATACAGTGGACCCCCGACATTCGATATTAATCCGTTCCTTAGAGCTCATCGAATGTCGAAAATATCGAAAGCCGAATTAATTTTCCCCATAAGAAATAATGGAAATCAAATTAATCTGTGCAAGACACCCAAAAGTATGCAAAAAAAATTTTGCCACATGAAATATTAAGTTTAATGCAATAGAATAATTACAATAACAACAATAACAATAGATTAATAACAATAGAATAATTGACACTTATCATTAATGAAGATCTGGTGATGATTGGTAGGATGGGAGGAGGGGAGAGTGTGGATGGTGTTAGTGTTTAGAAAGGGAATCTCCTTCCATTAGGACTTGAACTGGCAGCCTCACCATGCCTTACCACATTGTGTATGCCACTACGATTCTTAAATCTTTCAAACCAACCTTTGCTGGCCTTAAATTCACTCACATCACCACTAGTTGCAGGCAATTTCTTTACCAAATTATCATGCACTCCGACACACGCATTCCATTTTCGTACTTTGCAATTACCTCTTTCTTCATTTCAATAGTCATTAGCACCTTTTTTCTTGAAGGGTTGGCACTAGAAGCTTTCTTGGGGCCCATGATTACTTATTTTGCAGAAACAAGCACCAAAAACAGTGATAATATGGATATACGGAATGTACCGAATGTATCCTTAGATGCGCGCACACTCTCTGGCTTGGCACACACGGGGCAGTTCAGGCCACACGTGGACACGTCTCATACGAATCGTATTGAATGTCGGGTTTTCCATCGAATGTCGAGGCGAAATTTTTGCGTTAAAATGCATCGAATGTCGGATTTATCGAATGTCGGATTTATCGAATGTCGATGCCATCGAATGTGGGGGGTCCACTGTACTATATCCTCTGGAATTTCATCAATACTGTGCAATTTCCTGTACAGTGGACCCCCGGTTAGCGATATTTTTTCACTCCTGAAGTATGTTCAGGTGCCAGTACTGACCGAATTTGTTCCCATAAGGAATATTGTGAAGTAGATTAGTCCATTTCAGACCCCAAAACATACACGTTACAAACGCACTTACATAAATACACTTAAATAATTGGTTGCATTCGGAGGTGATCGTTATGCGGGGGCCCACTGTATTTATTTTAAATAATATTTGATTTTATAGGGGCTTTGACCTTTTTTTTTTTCTTTATTGAATATCCATGCCATAAGCCTAAATGAAGTGTGAAGTTTTGCCCCCACTAATGGGGATGAGTTTAATATTGTTATGTATTTTTAATTGTATCAAAAATACTTTGATAGAACTGTATTAAATAATTGGTTGAATATAAATACACAATGCCGTGATTGAAACAGTACACAGATAACCCACACATTGGAGAATTTATTTATTTATTTATTTATTTATTTTATGTCTTTGCAAACAGTACATTGAGATTTTGTATTTACAATAGTGGGTTGCAATGCAAAGAGAGCCTCTGTTATGCCTAGGCATTATGGGCCAACTTAACATTATTGGCTTACAGTCTTCTTAATACTAAGAAGTATATCATAGTTGTACAGTAGGATAGTAATTATTTCATAGTTGTAATTTTCTGTCTCATAAACACGCTAGATAACAGGGATATCTTGCTACTCCTACTTAAACTTTGGTCACACTTCACAGACATGCACATGCATATATGTATACATACATCTAGGTTTTTCTCCTTTTTCTAAATAGCTCTTGTTCTTCTTTATTTCTTCTATTGTCCATGGGGAAGTGGAAAAGAATCTTTCCTCCATAAGCCATGCGTGTCGTATGAGGCGACTAAAATGCCGGGAGCGATGGGCTAGTAACCCCTTTTCCTGTAGACATTTACTAAAAAAGAGAAGAAGAAAAACTTTATAAAACTGGGGTGCTTGAATGTGCGTGGATGTAGTGCAGATGACAAGAAACAGATGATTGCTGATGTTATGAATGAAAAGAAGTTGGATGTCCTGGCCCTAAGCGAAACAAAGCTGAAGGGGGTAGTGGAGTTTCGGTGGGGGGAAATAAATGGGATTAAATCTGGAGTATCTGAGAGAGTTAGAGCTAAGGAAGGGGTAGCAGTAATGTTGAAGGATCAGTTATGGAAGGAGAAAAGAGAATATGAATGTGTAAATTCAAGAATTATGCGGATTAAAGTAAAGGTTGGATGCGAAAAGTGGGTCTTAACCCCTTCAGGGTCCAAGGCCCAAATCTGAAGTGGTGCCCCAGTGTCCAAGAATTTAAAAAAAAAAAAATTTGTTATTCTTTCTTATGAAATGGTAGAGATTCTTTTTGTGAAGGTAATAAAACAAAAAATACGAAATTTGATGGAAAATTGACGAAATTATGCTCTCGCGAATTTTGATGTGTCAGCGATATTGACGAATCGGTGATTTTTCCGACTTTGACTCCCATTTTAGGCCAATTACATTATTCCAGTCAACCAAATTCTTAGCTATTTCACTAGTATTACTTCTATTCTATCGATTGAGCACAAGAAATCGCCAAGTCAACTGTTTCAACTACAAAATAAAGTGATCGGAAATTGTTAATTTGGCCAATTTAACACAAAGTTCAAAATATTCCAATTTCAAAATAGGGTCCAGAATAAACAATGTAGGTATTCCTGGAACTAAACTAACATTTTTTCTGTTCATTAGTTGCAATTTGAGGCTTTACCAATAAATTCCATTTTGATTTTTTATTCACATAATGAATTTTCATTCACACCAAAAAATAGAAGATTTACTGTTATGCAGTACTGTAATAATTGTATAAATATCATCACCATATTTGTGAAAGTATATTAGACCCATCAGCTGGCGTGTATTAGACGTGTGAGGTCATTTGTTTACTCTTGAATATCGGCAAAAATTTAACATTTCCGCTACTTTGAGCTCAGTTTCAAGCCATTTCCAATGCTAAAACCAATCAAAATCATCTCTATTTCTGTAATATGTCTTCCATTCTATCAAATGAGACCAAGAAATCGCAAATACAACTATAAAAAACATAAGAAAAAACACTGCAAAGTCGCTGTTTTAATCGAAAAATCATGATTTCAGTTTTTTCTCTCATTATACACAGTGTGCTGCAGGATTTGTTTTATGTGGTGCACACATACCACATAGATGTTATTTTATTATTATTTTTTTTATTATCACACCGGCCGATTCCCACCAAGGCAGGGTGGCCCGAAAAAGAAAAACTTTCACCATCATTCACTCCATCACTGTCTTGCCAGAAGGGTGCTTTACACTACAGTTTTTAAACTGCAACATTAACACCCCTCCTTCAGAGTGCAGGCACTGTACTTCCCATCTCCAGGACTCAAGTCCGGCCTGCCGGTTTCCCTGAATCCCTTCATAAATGTTACTTTGCTCACACTCCAACAGCACGTCAAGTATTAAAAACCATTTGTCTCCATTCACTCCTATCAAACACGCTCACGCATGCCTGCTGGAAGTCCAAGCCCCTCGCACACAAAACCTCCTTTACCCCCTCCCTCCAACCCTTCCTAGGCCGACCCCTACCCCGCCTTCCTTCCACTATCTAGGCCCAAATGTACCACTCAGTTTATCAGAGTGAGCTGAGCTCATGATGTAGATCTACGGTTTGGACCCTGAACGTAAAGCCGTAGATCTACGGGACGGACCCTGAAAGGGTTAATAAGCGTGTATGCACCTGGAGAAGAGAGGAATGTAGAGGAGAGAGAGAGATATTTTGGGAGATGTTAAGTGAATGTATAGGAACCTTTGAACCAAGTGAGAGAGTAATTGTGGTAGGGGACCTGAATGCTAAAGTAGGAGAAACTTTTAGAGAGGGTGTGGTAGGTAAGTTTGGGATACCAGGTGTAAATGATAATGGGAACCCTTTGATTGAACTTTGTATAGAAAGGGGCTTAGTTATAGGTAATACATATTTTAAGAAAAAGAGGATAAATAAGTATACAAGATATGATGTAGGGCGAAATGACAGTAGTTTGTTGGATTATGTATTGGTAGATAAAAGACTGTTGAGTAGACTTCAGGATGTACATGTTTATAGAGGGGCCACAGATATATCAGATCACTTTTTAGTTGTAGCTACACTGAGAGTAAAAGGTAGATGGGATACAAGGAGAATAGAAGCATCAGGTAAGAGAGAGTTGAAGGTTTATAAACTAGAAGAGGAGGCAGTTAGGGTAAGATATAAACAGCTATTGGAGGATAGATGGGCTAATGAGAGCATAGGCAGTGGGGTCGAAGAGGTATGGGGTAGGTTTGAAAATGTAGTGTTAGAGTGTTCAGCAGAAGTTTGTGGTTACAGGAAAGTGGGTGCGGGAGGGAAGAGGAGCGATTGGTGGAATGATGTAAAGAGAGTAGTAAGGGAGAAAAAGTTAGCATATGAGAAGTTTTTACAAAGTAGAAGTGATGCAAGGAGGGAAGAGTATATGGAGAAAAAGAGAGAGGTTAAGAGAGTGGTGAAGCAATGTAAAAAGAGAGCAAATGAGAGAGTGGGTGAGATGTTATCAACAAATTTTGTTGAAAATAAGAAAAAGTTTTGGAGTGAGATTAACAAGCTAAGGAAGCCTAGAGAACAAATGGATTTGTCAGCTAAAAATAGGAGAAGAGAGTTATTAAATGGAGAGTTAGATGTATTGGGAAGATGGAGGGAATATTTTAAGGAATTGTTAAATGTTAATGAAGATAGGGAAGATGTGATTTCGTATATAGGGCAAGGAGGAATAACATCTTGTAGGAGTGAGGAAGAGCCAGCTGTGAGTGTGGGGGAAGTTCATGAGGCAGTAGGTAAAATGAAAGGGGGTAAGGCAGCCGGGATTGATGGGATA